ATTTAGTGTGACAGCTTCATTTTTCCTTTTTTTGATTTATTCATTCGGTGGATACTTACTGAACATCCACCATACACCAGGCACTGTTCCAGGTGCTGAAGATGCTGTAGGAGGTGAGACAGGCAGGCATCACGTGTGTGTTTCCTCACTGGATTCCCACAATAAGCTCACGATGCAAATGCCAGTTTTATCCCCGCTTTTCAAATGAGGAAACTGAGGTGTATTAGTCAGCTCAGGCTTCCATCGCAGACCACCACAGACTGGGTGGCTTACGCAACAGAAATTTTATTTTCTCACAGTTCTGGAGGCTGGAAATCCAAGATCAAGGTGCTATCAGGACTGGTTTCTGGTGCTCTTCCTGGCCTGTAGATGGCTGCTTTCTCCCTGTGTCCTCACATGGCCTCTTGTCTATGCACGCAGAGAGAAAGCTCTGGTGACTCTTCCTTTTCTCATAAAGACACTGTACTGTTGGACCAGGGCCCCACTCTTATGACCTCATTTAATCTTAATTAACTCCCTGAAGGCCCTGTCTCCAAATACAGTCACTTGGAGGGTCACGACTTAAGTATACGAATTTGGGGGGGAGGGGGCGGACACAATTCATTCCACACAACTGAATCTCTGAGAAGTTGAATAATTTTTGTAAGGTCATGCAATTGCTAAGTGCTGAAGGTGGGATCCGACTCGAGGTTTACCTGACCCAGAGCCTTGCACTAACCTCTGGGATTCCTGCACTTCACTTAGGATTAGGTCCAGACCCTCCTTCCCTATGATGGAATTAGACTCATCAGTACTTGCAGGCTTCCCTTTTTTTTTTGTCTTTTTTCATGTCTGGCAACGGATCGCAACCCTCAGTGTCACGCCCGTACNGGCGGGAGCGCCTCCGCGCTCCCAAGTGGCGCACTGTAGCAGTGCGCCACCGGGCCGGCCCTTGCAGGCTTCCCTAAGGAGCCCACGACTTCCAGGAGCTCTGTTACCTAAGTAAATTTTGGAACCTTGACTTCTGAGAAGTGTTGGATAAAAAGGAGGGTCACGGCCTGGTGTCTGGCTCTGTTTAAACCAACGAATTAGGAAATGAGGAAACAGACCACAATCATGAGTGCTGAGAACTTCTGGGTCCCTGTAGCTTTCTTGTGTTTATTATTTTGCTGATGTCCTGGCTATTGGCACAGAGAGGAAATGAAGCCCGTGTACTTATATCTTTGGAAGCCATCAGGCAGGGGACACTGAGGAGAGAGCCCCAGGGATGG